CGCTTTACAGCCGTAATATCTAATCAGAATGTTGTTGCACTTATGCTGATTTTAAATTATTTCATTATTAAAATTTCGAATAGTAAACGAAATTGTAATAAAAAATTTACTTGATGCAGTAATTTGATAGGGAAGAAATGGATATACTGCTGCAGTTTAAGAACTGCAAACCACACTATTTGGTACACAATATGGGAGAAATGGATGGCAACGTCTGATGAAAGTTATATAGAATACCTAACTTGCTCCGAAAATAATTATATTATTTGCGACTTTTTAATACTATTGAAAAAAATTCAGTCTAATGATAGCAAATGGACCACTAGGCGTGCTAACGCATTTCTTTCTACTGTTGCCAAACATGCAAAAACAGATGAAGTAAATTCTTGTCTTTTTAAAATTTTAAAAGATATTAGTTTCAGTTCAAATAGGTAATAACATTTTCGTTTAAAAATACAGGGTGTCCCAATACAATGTATACAGATTTTATTCTCATTTATATTTTAACGAGTAAAATAAACAGACGTTAACATGTTGTTCTGTTGGTTCTCTAAAAACTCCAATGTTCAAAGTGATCATCAGTATCAATGCATTGCTGTTGTGTAACAGAGCGGCATATGCACTATACTTTTTCTAGCAAAATAGCAGCACAAGTATTTTCAATTTCTCAGAACCTGCAGTGCTCTTGGTTTTGTGGCGTATATAATGTTCCTTCGAGTACTTTAAGCAAATGTCCAGTGATGTTAAGTCAAGAGATCGAGATGCACACTTCACACTTCCTCTTCGTCCGATCCATCTCCTGAAAAAGTGACATTAAGAAAATTTCTCATATCGGTTCGGTAATGTGATGGTGCACACTGCTGAAAGTAACAGTCTTGTTTCAGGTCATTAAGAGCTGGTATGATTTTGTCTCGCGTAAGAATGCTTGTGCTACTATTCTGCTAGAAATAATATAATGCGTATGTGACTCTGTTGCACATCGTTATCAACAATGCAATAGTGCAGAAAATGGTCATTTTGAACATTTGTAGCATTGTGGTAATTGCCAATGCAACAGTAAGTTAACGTCTGTCTTACTTGTTAAAATGTACTTATGGTAATTATCATTTAAATTGTTAAAATATATGATAAAATGTATATTTATTTTATTGAAACACGCTGTATATCTCCAAATTTATAAAATATTTCTTAATCATTCACATATATTATCATAACTAATCATTAATATTTGTTAAATTTATCAGTTTTTATTTTGCTTTTGTAGGACAAATGACATAATTGCAACATTAATTGTAATTATTACACACTCCGGATATAACATGGCAAAGGTATATTTTCTCAATTTTATTCTAACACACTCATTTCTTGATATCTAAATATAACGATAATTTATATCTACATATATAATTTGTTACATACATAATATATCTAATTTAATTACAATGTACATTGTAAATTATGTGCTGCCAAACTGCAGATGTGTGAGAGATTTGTATTCGTTGACATTATTGAATAAATTTGTTTCAGGTAAATATATTCGCAGAAAAGCACTATGAAATACCAATGATTCAAGCCATTGAAAGTAAAATAAGGAAACGAAGATTGGAATACGGAAGACTAATCAGTAACTACGGACACTATTTCAGTATCACCGTAACGACATAAATAACGAGATATCTGAGTCAAGATGAAAGACTAATTCACTTGTTGCTCGCATATGACCATATATCGATAATTATTATAATCTCTTATTTAGTTTTTATCAATTAATATCTGAATATACAAAACTATTTAATTTTCTGAACCATTTCTGTTATCTGAATATAATTATTACGCAGGTATTTAACTTTTTTAATGTATAAAGTATTAGTAACCAAATTATTAATTTAAAAAAATACACAAAAACATGCACAAACACCTAATAATAATTTAATAGCCAATTTTTTTTACAGAATTTTTATTTTCTATTTTATTCTGTAATACATATAAATTTGTTTGCATCATATTTTAAAAATTGATACGTTTTACTGTGTTAGGTAACACAGTACTTAAATAAATTGAATATTTTATTTCATCAATGATTAATTTTATTGTATACAAAAAAAAAAAAATTATATTTTTAAATATTATAAATACAATATCGAAACTGCGTGGTAATTTCAGTTTTATTATTTATATGTAGATTTAATTCATTACATTTCTTAATTTCCGTTCTCGGTCTGTCGATAAGTTTTCTCGTCTATCAATAAATATGGCATGCAGAAAGTGAACGTTTCTTAAACGCTGTTTACATGGCATAACGTGCACGTTCTATCAGTCATCAATATCTCTCTCAGTGTTCAATGTATGTTTGATATGGAAACAAAGCGGATAAGGTTATATATCTCTTGACATTCATAATTTGAAGCGGTGTAAAGTGCATTATTCTCACAAAATTGCGCAATGCGACAAACTCTTCTAATTTAATTAATATATGTAGGTGAGTAAGCAACAACAAATCATTCTGCTTTGAAATTATAGAAGAATACATATAAATCACAAATATAGCTACAGTTTCCCGAAAGCATATATGTCAACAGTTATCATAAATTGAATAGAAACGTATTGATTAGATATTTCTAAAATCATTAGTCATATTTTCCAATTTCGAATATATTGGACGATATTTTGCGTAGTTTTAGTATATTTCTGCGGGAAAAATAAACTATAAAATAATTAAAAAACGATCAGTTTCTTTTGTTACAAAACAATACACATGTACATAATTATATATGATTAAAATATCCGTTTATGTGTAAATTCCGTTTAATTCAAAAGAAATCTGAGACATTACATTAAAAAACATAGAAATAAATTTATATTTCAATCAGCCATAATAGATTAATGATCACTCACATAATTTATATCCAGCAAAAAAAAGCAATTAAAAAAATATCT